GCAACCATTTATCAGTGCGGTGCCTATGGAACAGGCAACTGTTTGAAATAGCGAGCAGTATGCCAAGAAACGGTCCGATGACAGCACAATAAATCATTTATTATTTTACAAGGAGTGAAGTCAAAATTGATACATATTCAAAAAGATAGTTGACAAAGTTGAGAACGAAATTGAGTGAAGTTTTTGAGTAGTATCAATTAAATTTTTTTCGGTAGAAAAGGTTATAATTGTATGAATAAGTGCTCGGTGTTTTTGAGCAGTCGCAGATTCGTAAGACATTTGGATGATATTGTTCTGATAGTAGTTATTTTTTACGCTGCTTTTCAATTCTCAGACAGATTATGTGATATTCGACAACCAATATAGTAACACTGGTGTAGTCCGACATTATTGGATACAAGGTGTTAAAAGGCTTTTGGCTTTAAACGGAAAACTTGGGTAGCAATTTAGTGAAGGTGATGTGTAAACCAAGTAGCCTTTTTATGTTGCAGCTAATTTCCTGCCTTAAGGACAGCTCCAAACTTTTATTTTTCTTTGAAAGTTTTCAAAACAGTGTTGGTGAAAGGATGCCAAGGAAAGCACGATTTCCTGTGAACAGCGATTTAAGATGCTTTAAAATTTTGGGGTATCAGGCTAGAGGCGATTAATTCGCAGTAGCTTTTATCATGATTGCTTTCTTTCTTTGTCCAAAAGCCGAACAGTGAAGTGTGCAAAGCAGGTACAGTGAGGCTGGCTTAGGCAGAATATTGAGTGCCATTACTCTTTTCTGCAAGAAAATCATCTAGATGAAGTGTAAGTTTTTTCCCTTCTGATATGATCAATCTTAATTGGTGCAGGTAAAAGTGGAGAACATGAAATACAAGTTCATGAATTGTCACTGTTCGAACTTACACATTTTTAATACCACTTGAAAGATAGTGAGTGTATCACAACAATTTATTGTCAGTGACGTTGGTGGAACCCGGTAACAATATTTATCAAGCCTGTCCTGAATTTGTGGCTATTTTCTCTTTATATTTCATTCCCGTACCGAGCTAACCAGTGGTTTCTGAATCTAAAGGACTATGTGATACTGAATAGTGGGAACAGGCCAAGTACCACTAAAGACCGTTCTCATTTTGTTGAGTCCACTCTTGATATTAGTTATTGAAAAACATGAAAGACCCCTTGTCTTGTAGTTTTTTTTTTT